GGGACATTTACACCATAGAATACTATATGGCTGTAAAAAAGAAGGATCTCTTACCCTTTGAAACAACATGGAGGGACCTGGAAAGCATTATGCTAATTGAAATAAGCCAGTCAGAGAAAAACGAGTATCACATGATCTCACTTATATATAGAATCTACTGAACAAAAGAAACTGACAAACAAAATAGATCGAGAAACATGGAAGTATGCAACAGACTGACAATTATCAGAGGGAAGGGTGGGGGGAAGGGATTAACCAAAAAAGTTATATGCATATATGCAAACCTCATGAACATAGACAATAGTGTGGTTAAGGCGTGGGGAGGGGAAGGAAATGGGGAGGAGGTGGTCATTGGGGGGGGGGACACATCTGTAATACTTTCAACAATAAAGATAAATTTTTTTAAAAGAATGTGCAATTCTGAGCAATCGGGACAGTGCTATGTGGACCAATCAGGCTGCACAAATTTGGATTTCGCCTTTGCATAGAGTGAATGCTCAACTATCTGTGCAAAATTTTTATCATTATAATCACTATCATTATTATTACTATGAGGGACTGTAGGTAACTTGCATAAGGAACACTAGTGTGATTCCTTTCATTCCTGTACCAGTCCTTCAGACTGTCCTCTTGTGATTCATTTTCCCCTTTCAGGGTAACCTTAGGAGTTTCTTTTCCCCTTATTTTACCAGGAAAAAAAAATGTTGGAGGGAAATATGCCAGATCCTCAAAACTATGTTCCCCATCCCAGGCGCCAGACACAAAACACCCTCTTCTTCTGCAGGAGGCACATGGAGGGAGGTAGTCCCCAAGAGGACACGGAGCCCTGTGGTTTGGCGGGTGTCCAGGGGGTGGAGCCAGAGAGTTGCCGCTGCTTTGCTCACCGCTGACAGGGGCTATCAGCTCCTCCAGGCCAGCAGCGGGCGGGAGGCCCAGAGGAGAGAAAGGCTGATGACATCTGCACAGTTTTCTGGAAGCTTTTAAAATTCTATGCTCTTGAAGTGCACCTGAGCTACATTCCTGCCATACAGAACATGCCACAAAATTGACATTTAGGAAGAATGAGGAAGAAATTGATTTTTTTTTTTAACTTCAGTTGTAGATTCCCCTGCTATGGAATGTTTGCCTCTGGACTTTTTTAAAATTTATTTTTATTTAAGTATAGTTTGTATACAATCTTATATTGGTTATATAAGTTTCATGTGTACAATATAGTGATTCAACATTTTTATACCTTACAATGTGATCACCCCACTAATTCTGGTAATCATCTGTCACCTTTGTGAACGTATCACAACGTTGTTGACTATGGAGCCTCTGCACTTTTAAAAGGCAGTGGAAATTGACTTGGGATTCTCACCTAGACAGAGGGGCATTCCAGAGAAACATTTATTTTTTTTTTTTCTCCTCACTAGGGAAAGGGCAGCTTGGTTTCCGTACCCTCCTACCCCGCCCCTGGGGACCTTGCTGGATTCACCTGTGCAGCAGCTGTGTCAACTCTAAGAGAAAATCCACCCCCACACCGCACGGTCACTTAGCTCCAGAGTCCATTGCATAGCCACCTGCCCCTTGGTTTTTAACGTGATACTCTGTTGATTCTTTTCAGTTACAAATTTGCCAAAAACTATTTCAGGGTGAGGGTAGGAGCTACAGGAAACAGCAGGGAGAAGAAAAAGATGAATTTGAGTAGAATTATGGCTGAGCAAAGATCTCGAAATACCATGGAAAGGATGGCAAAGATGCTGGCACCAAATCAAGAACAGAGGGGGGCGCGGATCAGGTCCAGGACAGGGACCAGCTTCTCAGCAATGCTTTGGCACTGATGCCTAAAGTGGGAGGAGAGAGCCGAGAGCGCGGATATGCAGAGTGGGGTTTTGAGTATAAAACTGTTGGGTGCCTCCCTCCCAGCACTGCCTCCTCCTAAGCACCCTCCCTCTCAGCAGAGCGCGGCGGGGCTTTATCAGCCGGCGCCTCCTGCCACCGGGGAGCCAGCTGGAGTGTGAGTACCCTCCTTATTTCTATTCACTTCTTTGGGGCGCTCAGTCCACTTTAAATTTTGTGTTTTTTTCCCTTTTCTTTGTTTTAACGGAGAAATGTTTCAGACGGTCGGAACTGAGTAGACACAGCCGAGTCCGAGTCCTGGTAGACTAGAAAGCAACTTCCCAAAGCCCCAGGCTGCTTCCTGGAAGCCTGAAGGCGATGCCTGTGTCTGTGATCTCTGAAGGGGGTGGGGGCGCAGCACCTGAGCTCCCTGTGGAAGAGGGTTTCCAGCGAGGTGTCTCCGGGACGTGCCAAAGGACTCTGAGTTCATCCGCTCCGTATGCGAGTTTCAGGCTGTGTTCTTGAAATAATTAAGTTGGAGACATATCTATATGACTCCAAAAAAAAAAAAAGTGGGGTCCTGGCAATGGCCCTTTCCGATCTGGTTTTATGGATCTTCGGGCAGGTGCTGTCCCGCTGAAGGGACTGTGCTCCGCATTGGGAGAGCTCAGCAGTCACACTGAAGCCATGCATTTGGCAGGTCTTTGCATCTGCACTTTCCACAGTGGAATTCAGGCCTCAAGGCTTCTAGGAGTGATGTGTTCCCAAGAGGAAAGTATTTTAATCGGGAGACAAGAATAACTGACAGGATTCTCTTTGTTTCTGCTTACAGCTTGAAAGGAAACTGAGCACCTCCCACCACTTAATAGCAAAAACTACCTAAAATAAAGATTATTGTAAGTACCAAAAAAAGGTCCATGTTGAAAGTCTCTTTACTATGAAAGAGCGTGAATGTTTAAATTCTCTCTTCTGTATCCATAGCCAAAACTTGGTACCATTTTTTTAAGAGATGCTGTCATACCTCATTTTATTACACTTCCCTTTATTGTGCTTTGTGTAAATTGTGGGGTTTTTTACAACTTAAACGTAAGCCCCTCCACTAGAAAATAAACTATGACTCACCGAAGGCTCAGATCACGATTAGCAATTTTTTAGCAATAAATTATTTTAAATGAAGGTGTGCACATTGTGTGTTTAGAAATAATGCGATTGCACACTTAATAGACTACCGTATAGTGTAAACACAATTTTTATATGCACTGGGAAACCAAAACATGTGGGCTACTTGCTTTATGGAGATACTTTATTGCTGTGGTTCGAAACTGAGTCTGCAATATCTCCAAGTTATGCCTGTACTTGAGACATAGAAAATTTAAGACTTTGAGGTCTTTCCAATTGCACAAATTTTTCATATATGCTGACAATGGAAAGAGTTTTATTTTGTATAATAAAATAGGGAATGTTGGTTGGATTGAAATTTTGACACTGCCTTGTATTAGAATGATGAGCACTGTTTTGTTTCACTAGTAACCTAGGCTTTCTGACTCCTGCCAGAAAGCAGCTTCCAGAATATTCTCAGCATGTTAAGTTCAGCACACACAGGCCGTGTTGTGAATGTGTCAGCGATTCAGGAGAAGGAGGTTTGCTTTGAGGCACCGGGAGATGTTTATCTGTCAGAACCATCACTGGTCCCAGCAAGGGCATGGGGTGAAACTGGGGATGGCCGAGCCCTTTGTCATTGCTCAGCCCCCACCTCAGAGTTATTTCAAGGCAGCCGCGGAGTCAGGCTGCGTCTGCGACACCACGGAGCCCTAGCGCCTATTGCAGGCTGCATTCGGAAGCTGCTCCTTCTCAGCCTGTTGACTTGAACAGAATCTTTGGAGGCATTAATGTGCTCCAGGCTGGCAGACAAGGAACCACCACGGCTTTCCTCTCCCGTAAGGCTGACTCTGCTGAATGAACCTGGATGGCCCCCACTCTGAACCTCAGTTTTGTCTTCCGTAAAATGAAGGCTTGAACTATGCACTCACCAAAACAGCACCTAGCTCTCAATTTTTTTCATCTCTTGGTTCTAAGAAAATATTGATATTGAGTTCAAAGAATGCGATTCTTCAAGGTTTGTGTGATTTTGGCAGTGGGGGAGAGGCAGGAACCCGCAGGGGCAGAAGGGCTAAGCACCTACACTGACAAATGTGACAGCTCCTGCGCTTCCCTTTCTTTCCTTTTCTCGTTCTTTCTTCTTTATGTTTTTTTAACCCTGTATAAGGCAAGAGTCTTGCATTGCTCTTTCACAAACAAAAATATGCATAATGTAACCCATGGACACATCAGTTTGGTGCTTAACTAACCAGATAGGTTAACCACGGATAAGCACATGGTGCTTTTCTAGGATGTGGCAGTGATCTTTTCCACAACTGTAGATTGTTCTGAACGACTCTAGTAGCGCTTAAGTTCTCAGGTTTCATATCCAGCTGGTAAAAGAAAGTAAAAATTAAATGGGGGGGGAAGAAATGCCACACATACAACTTCTCTGGAAATACTGAAGGAAGAAAGACATCCTTGGATGCAACGAAAAGTTAAAAAAAGAAAACATAAAGAGCTGCTACACTTGTAGAATTCAGCAAAGAATTGTTTGCTATTAACAAGATGATGTCCAGTATTTAATGATTGTTATTCACATACAAGAAAAAAGTGTCGGGTGTCCTTCTCTTAGATGCACTGCTGTGGGTTAAGGGTAGCTGGTATCTCATTACAGAAAACAGAGTCCACACCATGCCTCCATCCCACATTTGTAAAGAACAAGACCGAGGGGATTGCTGCATTGGCCTTGATCCCCACGACGGGGCCCTAACAGTTTGCCCTGAAGCATTTCAGAGCCCGGAGGCCTCCCCCCGCTGGAACAGGCTTCGGATTTGCCAGCTTCCTGGCAGTGGAAGAAACGCAGCAGAACAAGATCTGTGCAGAACGCTTCGCCACCATTTTTTGTTTGGTTCATTCTAAGCAAAGTCAAATGAACACACCACGGTGTCTGTGGGCAGCTCATTGTCTCTTTGCTGGTGGAGGTCTTGGCTGGTGGAGAAGATGGCCCTCTCCTTCGGAGGTCCTGGTCTGGGTCCCTGTCTGGGTCCCCTCTCCCAGGAGCCCGCCCGTGTGCTCCTGCCTCCCCCGAGCCTGCAGCTTCAGCTGCTCATCGGAGCCAGGGCGCGCGGCCTGCTGATTCTTGTATTTTTTGCCCTCTGTCGTTTATGGAGAGTGTGGAGAGGAAGATGAGTGGACGCTCTTTGGTTGGCGGCACTGGTGACGCCTCTCCCGTTCCTCTTTGGAGGGGCCCTTTTGGAAATAAAGCTGGTGAGGCAACGCATGGAGGCTTCTCCGGGCTAAAGTTAGCCTTGGCCCGCGGGCCGCCAGAACAGGTATGCTCCCCTCCTGCAGCCCCGTCCCCGGGGGCTTAGCACCTGCGCTCCGGTGTCTTTCCTGAGCAGAGCCTGGGAAGTGGGGTCCTCATGCTCTGCTGAGCAGAGCTGCTTGGGCTGGCTGGATGCACGCGGGGCTTGGTCCAGAAACTCCCATGGTACTTCTCATGGTTCAGATGCTGGACAGTTGAGCTGCGGGGTTTTGGTAGCAGTGGAAAAGCTAGGCAAATGTAGTCTGAGGTTTTTATCCTGCTTTTGTTTTGTTGGGGTTTCTCCCTTGCGTTTTCTTGTCCTGCATTTTTGTTAAAGTTTAATGGCCTTCCTACGTAGTCGAATTTGAGAAGTTTGAGCATCAGTAGGTGGTCCCTGCTCCACTGCCTTTCCAATTAGGATGTGTGGATTCTTCAAGTTCCCTAAAGAAATGCATACAATCAATGCGATAAAATTTTAGGATGAACTGTAGCCTTTAAGCTACTAGTTTCTCTTATATAACTATAACTCTTGCCTGAGTTCCAGAGTGAGTAGACAGAGCTCGCAGGGCTTCCAGAAGTTTCTCATCATTCAGAACAAATGATTCCTGGGGGCTCCGAATCAACAGCAACTGTCTGCTCAGCTCAGGAGAGGGTCCCCCTGTGTAAGACACGGAGGCCATACCACCCATCCCAGTGTGTGGATCCTGGAGAGACAGCTGGCAATGAGCTTTCTTCATGGTGGACTGTGGATCCAGATGAAAATTCAGTCTTTTTTTTAACTTTGGGTGGCTCCACAGGGAACTCAGGTCATTCAGGTTCCCAATCACGTCCGGCCAGTTATGCTATCAAGTTTTGTATCTATATCTCCAAAATCTCTGAGGCAATGGTGTATTTAAAACTCTCTAAGATAAATAAATATAGGCTGGAAATTTTGAGCACATGAATTTGTTCATCCTGGAATCACTCATATATACCTAATCATTACTGTACGCGATGGAAAATGCCCCTTTGATGTTTCCATCCCAGTGAGCTGATCGGCTCACTTAGAGAAACCCAAGGCAGTTGTATCTGAGCCTTTTATGGTTGCCTGGGGTGAAGCCTGATGCCTCTGATAAGTTGGCCTGGCTTTTAAAATGAGTCACTGTAGCTGAGGAAAGGGCTTACCAAGCAATATTTTCAGTAATGAGATTTAAAAAAGAGAATATCTGAAAATAAATGATAGCCATCACTGAGATTACGAAGTAAACGACAACTTTTCATAATTGCTTAGTAATTCAGTTTTGTATGTTTATGGGGCCAGTGAGCTCCATATAGACTTAGTTTTGGCTCCTGACCTCCAGCAGTTTTCAGTTTAAGAGTTTCTTAATGCAAAGGTTCATTGGAAGTCTCACAAATGCAAGAATCTAACACAATTTTGCCAAGACAAAATGAGCTTAATCTAGAATGTGTTCCATAAATATCTTCTATTTTGTGTTATGATTAATGGTTCACCATTGTTGGAAAGCAGGATGGTTAGTTGGGCAGTGGAATAATACAATTAAAGTACAATTGTTACTTAGTAAAAAATCAGTTACCCACATTGATTTCCCTACTAGGATTAATAAAAATAGAAGGCAAAACTAGGATCAGGATTGGGGAAAAAAACTTTTTTTTTTTTGGTCTATAACTTTTTTATCTGTTAATAGCCATTTGTTTGCTATGGTAAATGGAACAGTGATGGGGCCAAAGGTAGCCATGAGAATCCCTTATTCACAGCCTGGCCACAGGTAGGAGGTGAGCTGGCTTATCCACATGGGCTTTGGTATTTCTGTGGTCGTGTCTTATGTTCTTGCGGCTTCAGTTATGCCTTCCTGGCCTTGAGGGTTTTGGTGTCCACCTACTCCACACCCTCCTGATTGTGCACTTGCCTTTTCTTGCATGCTCAAGGTGGTTTTGCCATTGTCTTCTCCCTTTGCTTACCTCTGAGATTACATCATTGGTATTCCTTTGTGTCTACCATCGACACCGTGAACCGGTTCTATCTAAAGAGCACTATATTCTGGTGATGTTGATGCTTTCCTATTAACACTAATCATGAGAAGCAAACACAAGGCATGGCTATGTTGTTAGTGTTTTTCTGAAGCATGTTTATTATAATTATGCTCTGGATATATTTATATTGTATAGTTCTTAGATTACAGCTCTTTGGTTTTCAACAGCTTGGTCCACTCCCACCTTACCTGTTTTCTATACCTTTGTGTAATGTTTTTCTTGCTTGTTTTAAAACACTTAAATAACAAATTCCAAAAATAAGGAATATCTGACAGTTGCCTGATGTGAGGTCATATTCAAGTAAAATCTTTGAATTTGGAGAATACTTGTGAAGGGGTTTCTTAAGCAGTGTTGACACACACAAACTGTTTTTAAATTTTTTCTTCTCTTTGAACTTTTAAAAATAAATCCTTTTTTCATAAAATTAAATTTTAATTTAAAAAGGCTATTGGTATTAGAAAGTAGCCAATTGGTCTGTATTAATGAGGGCCATTTTGTAATCTGATAACTGTCTCCTTTAATCGACACCATGAAGCTTAAGCATGTAATGTTAGCTCTTTCTATATTATTATTTGACTCATTATGATGAAATTAACTGTTTCCCAGTCTTTCCATTAGGCTGAGTGAGATCTTTGAGTACAGGATATAGGTGCTCAATAAATGTTTGTTGAATTAGAAACTGAACCTTTCGAAAACAAAGGCCAGACCCTTCTCATGGTAGCATCAAAGACAGTAATGACAAAAGTAGGATGGAATTTGGGTGTGGGCAATAATCTCCATGATGATATTTCAAGAGGAAATTGGTGCTTTCTTAGTATGATGGGATGTCATGGTCCAGATAAAATAATGCCTTTAAACTCATCCTCTGTGGCTGCTGTGACCAGGCACAATGCTGGACAGTCTGGAGAATTCTGCATTAGGGTATTTATGAGCTCTCTTCTTTCCTCAAGGGGCCAGAGGAAGAGATAGCCATGGAGGACAGCCCCTCTATGATTAAAGAGGACCGGGGTAGAAACCAGACTTCACCATGTGGAAGGAGAAGGTGCTTTCCCAAGGCTCTTGGCTATGTCACTGGTGATATGAAAGAATTTGCCAGCTGGCTTAAAGGTATTTATGCTCCCATCCCTTGGAGAGATGTGAGAATTGACTTTGGGAGAAATTGTCTGCTGGTTCTTCTACTCATATCTTTAGCTATATTTACTTACCTTCTACCTACCTCTTTCCTCTCCATTTTTTAACTTTTTATCTTCCAACCTGCAAGCCTCTTCAAACTTTTTTTTATGGACACAGTGGTCAGGGCCACTGTCCTGCTAATATCAGAGGAAGGCAACTGGCTCCATTTTATACTTTTAGTACTTAAAATCTAAAATTTTACTATTGATAATTCAGTCCTTTGGCTAAAAAGTATGTATATCTAAGCATGTAAATAAGTGCATTTGATTTTTTTTCTGGAGCTGAGGTTCTAGTAGGGGCAGTATGGATTGAACATAATAAAATTGGATGCTTTTAGGAATCTGGGTGCCACTAAAGGGAAAAGTTTCCAAAAAATATCAAAAATTAGAGAGGATTTTGATGATTTTGCTCAAGAAGGCCCTAGACTTGGGAAGGGGCACTTAGCTGCTTTCTTAGCTCTGCCCATCTCATCTTTTCCAGACAAACCCATAGTGCTCCAGTTCTTGGACTGGATTCTTCGGGGCATATCCCAGGTGGTTCTCGTCAACAACTCCATCAGTGGAATCCTGATTCTGGTGGGACTCCTGGTCCAGAACCCCTGGTGGGCTCTCTGTGGCTGTATGGCAACGGTGGTCTCCACCCTGACAGCCTTGATCCTCAGTCAGGACAGGTAGGTGCATCCATCCAAGCCCTCTTCTCACTGAGCCAACCTGTGACTTTGGGCAGCCCTAATAAAGGCCCACTCAGGAGAAACCACCTTTATTCCACAGAACTCTTTATATTTGTTTTAAGTGAAAGGTTAGGGTATCATTTACTCCTGGTACCTGAATAAGTAGCCAGCCTGTACAATGCCAGATTCTTATAGCAGTACATGGGAACCGCAACTGAGCTACAAGGAAATCTTAGGAGAGATTCTGAAGGGATCTTCTTTAATAATGGATCAATTAGTTATCATCAACACTTTTTTTGTTTGTTTGGGCAAAGATGCATGAGTTCATGAAAAGTCTTGTTGGCTTGATAATCCCCGTTATCTCGTTTCCAAGATTCGTTCGGTAAAGTCGTCTGCTCAGATTCTAGAGAGATAAGTAACCACACTTTCCAAGTCAGCACGTTCTGACTTTAGTGTTGGGATGTCTTCTGAACTACGTGCCCGGTTAGAAACAGCGCTTACTTTATAAATTGGTCTGTCAAGTGGCTAAAATATTTTATGGTATTTTAAAAAATAATAAATATATGGAAATTGTCCAATTTGAAAATATATTGTTATATGGTGACCTCTCTCTGATGAGCAGTCTTAGTCTCATTTTATAATAAAACTACTGAATTAAAAGTGATTGAAATGTTAAAATAAGAAGTGAGGCCCAGTCAGATGGCGCTCAGCGGTTGAGCATTGACCTAGGATCGAGGAGATTGCAGTTCGATTCCCGGTCAGGGCACATGCCCGGGTTGTGGGCTCCATCCCCAGTCAGGGGCGTGCTGGAGGCAGCCGATCAGTGACTCTCTCATCATTGATGTTTCTCTCTCCTCCTCCCTTCCTCTCTCTCAAATAAATAAAGATATATTT